TTAAGTGTTTTGAAGTCAATAAATGCTCTCACTCGTCCATTTCTTCCCGTGACAAGTCGTGTCTGCACTTTTTCATCAACCAGTGATATAACCTTTTCTCACCAAATAAGCTATCATTCGGTAAAGAAAACGTTCATCACCTCGAGGAGTTGTAAGAGTACCGCAAGCATAGTAAGACGAAGCGACACTTTCTCTATCCTCGACTTCATCGTCATGCATTCTTGTATGAATGATCGTGTGCATTTTAGCTTTTAAAACCTCCCCACATGATATGGTCAAGGTGGTTTGACGCTTCTTACGTGATGGAATTCTACTTCTAAGCTTTGGAGCTAGACCCGCACCTTTTTCTTGTCTTAAAGGCTTTGACTGCTTGAAGGATCCAAGTCGTAGAAACACAGAATGTTTGCCCTTAGACTTCCGAACTGGACCGAGTCTTTGAAACACCGACACCCTTTGCCCTTTGTTTATGATGTCAGTGGATGAGACTTCTCCTTCCGAGATATGATTTGAATTTTCTCTCTTGATGGCTATTCTAATTGGACTCGATACCACATAACCAAGACCTGCCCGGTTGTGCTTTTGCTCTTGAGGTATGAGCTTTCCCAAAGAGCGACTTTCATTGGGGTTGTATCCTTATTATGGCGAGAAGCTTGTAGGCTTTTGGATCAAAACACTTTGAGTTCTTCAATCTTTCACCATGTTCCGTCACGGCTCCGTTGCTTAGACGAACAAACTTCGTAGGTGGTTGGGAGATAGGTTTCCCGTTATTTATCTTCGGCAACGGGAACACTAACTCTTTCAAAGAGTTTTCTATTTTTTCAATCTTTGGTTCTTCACTTTCAGACCTTTTATGCTGCTTGGACGGGACTTTCTCAACTGGTTTTGCATCTTTGAAATAGTATTTGGCATCAGCAAAATGAGTTTCAGCCTCCGTAAAAGGTTTATCATCACCAAGAACGGTCTTCACAATGCGATTTTTGCAATATTTGAAGCATTGATGCCATGTTGACGGAACCACACCATTCGCATGAAGCCACAAACGACCAAGAAGCATGTTGTAAGAAGTCTTTGCGTCGATAACATGGAACATTGCGGTTGATTCCATATCTTCCGTCAACAACTCCAACCTTATGATGCCAAGAGCTCTTTGCCCCCCTTGGTTAAAGCCTTGAATCATCAGTCGACTATTACCAAGTTCTTCTGTAGTCATTCCTAACTCTTTCAGCTTGCGAAGAGGCAAGATGTTGATTGTTGATCCTTCATCAATCAATATTCGATTAACCTTTTGGTCTTGTACATATCCGGCCACGAACAAGGGTCTGTTGTGAGGCTTAGAACCAAGCAGTAGATCTTCATAAGTAAAGACCATCATGGAAGCATTATCAACATGGTGATTTTCAACCTCAGGCAAATTGTTTTTTTCTAGCGGAGCTTCGTGCTCATTTGTCATGTTGCAAGCTTCACTTATATGGTTAGCAGTTGCACTGCTTTCTTCCAGAAAGATTTTTCCTTAGCGTGTCAGCTGCATAACCTTGTCCTTGAATACGAAGCAATCATGAATTGGATGCCCTACAAGACGGTGGTATTTGCAATATTTTGGGTCGTTAACCTTACCGGCTTCTTCAGGCCGCTTCATCTCGGGTAACTCAATAAGCTTCGCTTCCATTAGATCGTCAAATATGCCAGAGACGTGTGAATCAAGGAATGGGTACTGCTTTGCTTGCATTTCTTTTAGAGTCAACCTTCTTTGTTCAGTTTCCTTGGGGACATCCTTCTTTTCAACGGCTTTATTAAAGACTTTTCCTTTAAACTTGACAGGCATAGCATTGATCGTCATGGACTTCTTATTTTGAGATTTTGAGGAAAATTTGCCCCCTTTCCTTTGCTCGTATCTATCCTTGGAGCTTTGGGGTTCTTGTATTGGAGGACCATTAGCTCCGCTTGCGGCCATGCTTAGCTCCATGTCGTGGGCTCGAGTCGCTAACTCTTCGAATGTTTTCGATCGAATACCTTGAAGGATGTAACGAAGACCCCAACTCATACCTTGAATGCACATCTCAATGGCAGAAGCCTCAGACAGATGATCTTTGCAATTTAGACTTAAGTTCTTGACGTAGTCGATGACCGGCTCCTCCTTCCATTGTGGAGATGTAGTGAGCTCGATCATGCTGATTGTACGTCTCGTGCTTTAAAAGCGACTAAGGAATTCGTGCTCCATTTGCTCCCAACTATCGATGGAGTTTTCTTCTAAATTAGTGTACTAGTCGAATGTAACCCCTTTAAGTGAACGAACAAACTGCTTCACGACATAATCACCATGGGTTCCCGCATCGTTGCATGTCTCAATAAAGTGGTCTATATGTTGCTCCGGGTTGCCTTTGCCATCAAACTGCTGGAACTTGGGAGGTCGATATCCAACAGGCATCCTCAAGTTATCGATCCTTGGCGTATATGGCTTAACATAGTTGTGGGTTGACTTGGAACCACCATCAAGTTTGCCCTTAATTGTACTCATGATGAAATCCTTCAGTTGATCAATAGGGATCATTCCCGTGGACGAATGTTGGAATGGAGTCATCTCTCTTTCGTCATATTGCTCTTGCTTGGACGTTTCAGACTCTTCACGATCTTCAGTTTGTTTGCCCTTCGCGTGGCTTGTTTCAACATTGTCGACCTTGTCCATTAGCTTTGAGATTTGATAGTCTTACTCTTCGACCTTCTTCGCGAGCCCTTCAATAACCTTTGTTAAGTTTGCGATGTGCTCTTCAAGAGTTGAAGCATTGGTTGTCATAGTCGGAGCGATGCTCGAATTTGATGAAGAGCTTGATGATGAGCGAGGAGTTGAAGAAGCAGAGTCTTCTTCATCACCTTCGTGGGTAAGATGCAGCTTATCACTTCCAATCACCTCGTGCAAAGGAGCCGTCTCCGAAGATGCTTGCAATTGCTTGGACATGCTTCTTGTAACGACGCCGAGGTTGGAACTTGAGGAACTTGCTGAAGGAATCTTTACTACGGTGATCTTGTGGCTAGTCCTGTTGACTTGAGGAGCTTTGGAGAAGAGATGAGATGTAGAGATGTCCCACTGGGCGTGCCAAAAATTTGTAACAACAAATTTTGTGTATTGAATTTAAAAACACGAAAAATATTATTCAAATGAATTTCTCGAATCAAAATAATATAGCGGGTTACAATCTCTATTATTCCTTTGATTCTTCTCACAAACAATATTTTAAGTCTTGGAGCGAAATCTTCGGCTTGATCTTCTCCTTGACTTGATTTGACTTGAATTAACGTAATCCGAGGGTTTGAAAGCTTTTTCTCGGATCAAACGTCAAAATATCCCAAGAACGCGAAGAACACGATTCCTTGGTCTTCGCCGCAAAGTAGATCTCGAATCTTCTTCATGCCGGTTTTGAATTTACTAACGTTATTCGAAGGCTTCGCAGCTTGTTTCCAGATTGAACACTAGTCTTGAGGTTGAACGCGCTTGAATTTTGCTTTGAATCTTCAAGAACGCCTTTGAATCTTCAAGAACACTTGAATCTCGTCGAGAGATCTTGAACTTGAACTTGAATACGAACGTAATTCGGAGGCTTGACAGCTTGTTTCTGGATTAAACGTCGGTTTTTAGCTTGAATGTGCTTGAATCTTCCTTCGAATCTTCAAGAACGGCTTCGAATCTTCAAGAACACTTGAAACTTATAGAGAGAATTCTCTAGAGCTCTTGAACTTGAATATGAATTATGAGATGTGTTTTCGACATTAGGGAGAGCCCCTATTTATAAGTGTAGGAGAGAGAACCCTACCAAATTTAAGAATCGTAGGACGCAATTTGATTGGTCCATAATGATTCACATCAGATCTTAATCCACTTAGATCTTCCAAGATATTCTAAAGATATGATTTAGTTACCAAGAAAGGATTAAAATATTAAAATATCAATTAATTAACTATTTAAATTTAGGAATTAAATATATGAAATGAAAATTCCTAAAATATAAATAGAAAATATGACTTGATTTTTAATAAATTAATTTACACGTGGCGCCATTTAATTGGACACAAATTTCTTGTATCTACATATACCAAAGACCATACCAGAGTTATTAGATCCATGAAGCACGAACGTATCTTGTTTCATTTTCGCTATAAAAAGACCTCGCGAACACCAATGTTCAATTTGAAGCTAAGAAAGCACCTTCAAAACCCTCAAACCCTAGATCACTTTCAGCATAAGCTGTATAACATCTCCACAATTTCTACCATGAAGAAATTGAACTGGGAAAAGTCCACTTCTCATACGTACGTAAATGCAAGAGAGAGAAAAACCTTCAATTACTATACACATGCACTCGGGCAACACAGACAAGACCACTTCGTTCAAATTAAAGATGGAAAACAAAAAACCAACTCAACAGAAGTTTTAAAAGTGAGGATCGCATGTACAATTTCTAACATGACATGTGCTCTTGGTTCTTACTAGTGCAAAAATTATTTCTAACAATTTCTAACTAGTGATATCTCAATAGGCCGAATATTTTTTTTTCTTTTCTTGAAAAATAAAAATGAAGGTCCCACTCCCAATGAAAACATCAGTACATCACAATCCGCTAAACCTAGTACAGAAACACTAACGAGAACACATCCAAACATATGAAGCTGCAATTGCAAGAGTCCACAGTAATCTCTATTTTAAGGACGTTG